TATCCGGTTTTGATCCGGGATATCGGGCCACCAGTACTTGTTTGGTTCAGTCGGGCATTACGTTAATCAAAGACTTCGACAAATTACCCGAAAAGTAAATTTGAATGTTATGTCTGTTTTGTAATTACAAATTAATGTTCGTATTGTATATTCCAGAGGCGGTGTGTTTACTCCGGGAGCTCTATTCGATGGCACAGGTATTTTCGATCGCCTTAAAGCCCACGATCTGAACATTGAAGTGGTTAACGAATAGTTACTATATTTCTCCGTTTCGTTTCTCTCAATATTGAATCGTTTGAACTAATTGTTAATGTTTTTATGGTTTTAAAAGGAATTATTTGTATTTTAATCTCATGGATATTCAGTTTATCCCTAAAATGCCGCTCATTTTGTGCTAAATTTGTTTATTTTTATATTTGAATAATAAATATTATTTGTAATACAAGTTATAAAACCTGTTTTTGAAACTAAAATTTGTAATTGTTTAGTGAATTTTTAAAATAAAATATTTTACCGGTATTAAATGCTATTAATAAATCTATGTAACGCTATTTTCTCTACTATAGTATACAATCTAAAACATTAACAAAACTATTAACAGAATATTCATTACTCCTAACCCTCTCGCCGTCAATAATCGTAACGTAAGCTATGAATAGCCCGAAAAACATTATTACTGTATAAAATACCTGTACATTAAATGTAGAGTACATTTTCACTGAAATATTTGTAGATTTAAAGCATAGGAACGTTGCGTTAAATCTATGACAATATCTCTACACATAAATAATCCATTAAATGGTTTGTAATGAACGCAAAACTGTAGACTACAGGCGATAATCGTTAATAAAGTCAACGTTTACTCACAATTTATGAACACAATTAAAAAGTGAACACAATTAGCGAATCGATGCCTAAATTCAAAACGTGTTCGTTTAGCGGATGCCTGACTAACGCCAGAGACAATCCCGGCGTCTCTTTCTTCAGGTACCCGACGAAAGACCCGCAAAGGTATTACCATTTCGTCACTAAATGACACGTTTGGCCACTATTTACACCCCAATCAACGAACGCACCCTAACCTATACCCCGGGGACCCGCCCCTAATGGCTTGACCTTGTAGTTAGCCACGTTCGGGTGACCAAGGTCCCGACTTATATCACACCCCACACCTCATTCACACATAGGATATCCTGTATTATATTACAATTGACCTTGGTTTAATTTAGAACCAATTAATAGGTACCTGACCCTATTGAACCATAATCTAGACAATGATGATGGTCATTTATGATATACCCTGAATATGTGTATAGTTTACGATGTGGTGATCACGTGTCCATCGGTTCGGACGTAATAATTGCTTAAACCGTATTTGTTTTGTACGAATAGATGCCTTCTATGGGTCCGCGCGTCCAATAATGATGTGATTAGTGGCCAATACCTGAGCGGAGGCCACATTTCGGACAACGAAACGGTGTGTGAACTGCACTTCAGTCTCGAAGACATAACCGTCTATTCGTCGCGAAATGGGTCCGCGCGTCCAATAATGATGTGATTAGTGGCCAATACCTGAGCGGAGGCCACATTTCGGACAACGAAACGGTGTGTGAACTGCACTTCAGTCTCGAAGACATAACCGTCTATTCGTCGCGAAAATTGTTGGCCACAAACGCCGTCCCCATCGATGAGGTCCGTACGGCTGTCCCACTCCAGGCCAACACCACTGCCGACACTAATTATGGCCACAGCTATAAAAGTGGCAAAACGTTTGCCTCCCATAAAGTGAACAAAAAAAGTTTTGCCCAAAAAACTATCCGAAAGTATAACAAGAGTTTCGCGAAACCCAAGTCTTTAAAGCCATTATCTATTCTAAAATCACCCAAAAGTGCGAAAAACAGTTTAGAGATCATTGAAATCAATGGCAACTATAAAGCGGGAGAAAGCGCTAAAAAGCGGAAAAAGACATCAAATACTAATTGCATTGAAATTATTGAATTAGAAGACTATAGGGAGGGAACCGATGACAGAGAGTATGGTTCCGGCAGTGCTTCCGAAAGCTATAATAACGGTAATAATAACGGCTTTCTTATGGCACACGAATTGTTTGGTTTTAAAAGCTATACAAACAACTAAATGAAAAGTGATTTTATGTAAATGCCATCAAATACTTAATTCACACACAACTACATCAATGGTTATCATAAAATATATGATTTTATTTTTGTAATATTTTTCAATTTTCATTTTGTGTGTGTATTTTAATTGTACATTATTTAAAATGTAAGACTTTATAAATTGTATTTATAATATAACTCTAAATTTGATGAGTTGCTATAATTCTCAACTCTAATTACGAGTTTATTATGTAATAAATTAATTGTAAATAAAATGTGTTAATTATAAGGAAAATGTTTGAATTCCTTTAGACATACGAATTGTTTGATAAGAGGTAAATGGGTTTCTCGTTAGAGTGATTGGAATTTATCGATAATAATATAGGAAAATAATGTCTCAATACAATTGTTTAGATCCGTTCTGTCGATGATTGGCATTAGTTTTGAAATATCCATATATCATATTTAGTGAACCAATACACACATGTATTATGCCTTTAATTGCAATCACTTCAATGCAATAATATCTTTATATGTTTTAATATTAACATTAAGTTATGATAAGAATTTAGAGAATAAAATATAATATTTTGTTTAGCATTTGATTTCAATGCTATTAACAATAAAATACTATTTTTCTTATCATATCTGTTGTTGTGTTTTGTGTTATAATTGTCTTATCGTTGAAATTATAAGGAATCAATTGGTGTGAAGAGATGTGATGTCAAAACTAATAGGAATTATAGTAACCATTAAATGTCACATATCCTGCGCTCCGGTTATTGTATTAACACTCTTATCCATAGACAATACTTTCTCATTATTATAGCAAGTTTTTTACAGCTTTTACATAATGTGAACAAATATTTCTCTATTCATTATAACGGAACAAAATAATCAATATTTATGGCGTTATAAAGTGAATGTGTTTAAAATTTTAATGTTTTTAATTTAATACAATTCTAAGTTTGTTATATATTTACATTTGTTTATTTATTGCTTGTCTAACGAAATACTTAAAAAACTTTATACATAATGAAAGTGCCGATAGAAGAAGAGGAGCGGTTGATCAAGAGTAGTGCCAAGTGGTGGCAGAAATTGATTTTCAGCACTAAATTTCAAATTATTATTGTTATTATATTGTGTATATTGATTGGCATCGGAACCCCATTTTTGTGGCATTATATTTGGAAAATTACACCCAATTCTTGCGGAATTGAGTCCGATCTTAGGTTTGCATCATATAATTGCTAATTTGAGAGTGAGTGAGGAGAGAGAGAGAGAGAGAGAGAGAGAGAGAGAGAGAGAGAGTTACCTTGCTTATTAAATATGCATTAATCTAAATTACATGTGAAGATATGATTGTTCGCCATTCCGGTCCGCATTCAACAAAACCAAAAAGGATGCCAAAAATGATTGCTGTGGCGCTGAGAAGAATAAAAACAATATCGATATCATGTGTTGTGAGAACGAAAAGTGCTGTTTCGATAAGACAGCGGCTCCCGAGCAGATCCAATGTTTCTATGGACTGGTAGGGAGTGGTGACAAAAACAAGATGCCTCACTATACTGTCACCCAAGTGGACAAAGTGACAGCCAAACTGAAGCCTGCAATTGCATCGATGCCCAGATATTTACAGAAACCCGATCCCAAAGCGGATCCCAAGGACGGGCCCATCATTTTCCCTGAACTGGATCTTCAAATAACATATTTTAAAAACGAGTACTTTGTTATAGAAATTAAACCAAATAAAGGTAAACTAATGAATACAATTGTGGATCATGTGCTAAATGAGAATTTAATTTTCTCAAAATGGATATAAATTCATAGATAACGAGACAGAAGATTATCAAATACCGACCGGTTTGAAACAGTTTGACAAAAATGAAACAATTCATTCGTCAAGTAAGCCAAGCGATGCTGAGATAACATTGGTCTCGACCACTAAAGCCAACTGCAAGGACTGCTTTATGCTAAGCGTGAAGCGCAGAAATGGCAGTCAAATCATATTCAATACGGGAGACTTCACACCATTCCTCTACAGCAGAGGACTTATTGAGATCACCACTCTTTTGCCCAATGAATATATATACGGTTTGGGACAATCACCTTCTCGGAGCTTCAAACACAACATGTCCTATCCTGAAGTATGCTCTCTCTCTCTCTCTCTCTCTCTCTCTCTCTCTCTTAGCGCCGACGTCCATATATATCGGGTACACAACCGTTAGATTATCTTTTTCGTCTTTAAACACATTTTACATAAAATCTCTCTCTCTCTCTCTCTCTCTCTCTCTCTCTAAATTTGTTTCAATAATAACAATTATGTTATGTTTAAGAATTGGATGGCATTTAATAAATACAACCTGAATATGACGGGCGATGAGAAGAGTTGGTTCGGTTCGCACCCGATATACATGGGATGGACTAATGATAAGCCCGATAAGAAGGCTTATGGCGTACTTCTGGAGAACACGTTTCCCATTGAATTAGTCACTAATAGTCGACCGAGTCTTACATTCAGAGCAATGGGCGGACACTTGAAGTTTGTATGTCTTGACATTATATTAACTCTGTAAACTCCATAAATAGTATCCCTTCCGCTCTCGTCCCCCCATTTTCACACATTGACCGCAACTAAACATAAATAATGAATTACTAATTAAATATAAATATTATTCAAATATTTACTCATTTAAAGCCATTTTGAATCTTCATATGATTTCAATTTCAAGCACTTCTTTATGGGTCCCGAACCGAGTGATGTCTACAAACAGATATCGGATGTGATCGGACGGCCAGCGATGCCCCCGTACTGGGGTCTGGGCTTTCATATGTGTCGCACCGAAACCGAAGAGGGAAAGGGAACCAAAGCTATTGAAGAAATGATCGGTAATGACATACCATTCGAGTCCGACTGCGGGAGCGCCGCCTTCTCCGGTCAACTCTTAGAGCAGGCGCCCATTGATCTGTCCAAAACATTCAAGCAAAATAAAATAGCGCCTGATCACAGCATCCGAGCGCTGTTAGTACAGGTGCCCTATAGGAAACTCGATGATAAAGTGGTCGAATGGCAATCCTTTCTACTCCAAAACGATGCCAATCCTTCCAAGCCTTTTGAGGGCCAGTTCTTCGACTGGTGGAAGAATTCTGGTAATCATTAATCCATTTAATTATTGATTACTCGTTAGTATTTATGACTAAATCTTAAACCATTTGTTTATGTAAAATGTGTTTAAAGACGAAAAAGATAATCTAACGGTTGTGTACCCGATATATATGGACGTCGGCGCTAAGAGTACTGCCAATCTATTGGAAGCAGAATTGACAAAAATCTATGGCATAAGCGATGAATTCGATGGAATCGATGGCATATTCCTCGACTATAACACGCCAATCGATTTGACGCCCAATGTGTCCAAAACTTGTGCCACATTTCTGGCGAATCAC